GCGAGGGGGGGAAGGCAGTTATACTGGTGGGGTCTCTAAGCTGGGTTGGTTTCCTTGCAGACGTCTCATGACCCAACTAGGGAACATCATCAGGGGAGGAAGAAAAAAAAGGACTGTGGGGTCCTTGGTGCTCTCTGAGCTTGGCAGCTTTCTTGCAGACATTTCGTGACCCAACTAGGGAACATTATCAGTATTAGAAGCAAGAGGGGGTCGCAGGGAGAAGGAGAAGTATGGGGGTGCTTGGTGCTCCCCAATAGCTTTCTTGCAGGTGTTTCATGACATCATGAGTGCTAGAAGGGAGTGGGGGGTGGGGAGGAGGAGGAAGAGGAAGAAGAGGGAAAGGAAGAGGAAGAGAAGAGAAAATGGAGGAGGAAGAGAAGAGGAAATGGAGGAGGAAGAGAAGAAAGGGAGGAGGAAGAGGAGGAAATGGAAGAAGAGGAGAAAGACTGTGGGATCTTTAGTGCTCTCTGAGCTGGGTGGTTTTCTTGAAGACGTCTCATGACCCAACTAGGAAACATCATCAGTGCTGGAAGGGAGGAGGCTTTGCAGGGAGGAGGAGGAGGAGGAGGAGGAGGAGGAAGGCAATAGGGTCCTTGGTGCTCTCTGAGCTGGGTGGTTTTTCTTGCGGACGTTTCATTCCCAAACTAAGTAACCTCATCAGAGCGTTGGGTTTGGGCCACGAAACGCCCGCAAGGAAACCACCCGGCTCCGAGAGCAACGAAGGAGCCCAGGCTTCACCCCCCGAGCCGCAAGCCATCCTCTCCGCTGCACGCTGTGCTGGGCTAAAGGGGAAACGGGGCGCCCGCCTCACCTGGAGCAACATGTCCCCGGGTTCGATCCGGCCGTCGGCTGCCACGGCCCCCCCCTTCATGATGGAGCCGATGTAGATGCCCCCGTCTCCCCGCTCGTTGCTTTGCCCCACAATGGAGATGCCCAGGAAGTTGTATTTTTCTACCAAGACAAGACCGGGAGGAAAGGAGGGCATTAAGGGAACTGGGGAGGGTCCTGGGGGCTCTCTGACCTTTGGTTCTTTCTCCCAGGGGTTTCCTTAACCAAACCTTTCCCACTCATCATGGAGATGTCCCCTAGTTTGGATAAGGAAACATCTGCGGAAAAACCACCCGGCTCAAAGAGCACCGAGGACCTCCCTCTATTTCTACCTCCATCCATCAATCTCTCTATATCCATTTATCATCTACTATCTCTCTCTAAAATAGAAGTATCTATCCCCATCCATCTACCTCTCATCTATCTATCCATCCCTCTCTATGTATCTGTCTATATCCATCTCTCTACATCCATCCATCATCTATCACCTCTAAGATAGAAATATCTATCTCCATCCACCTATCTCTACCTCTCTCCATGCATCTACCTATCCCTTATCTCTATATCTCCATCTCTACATCCATCATCTATCTATCCACCCATCCCTCTACACATCTATGTATCTATATCCACCTCTCTACATTCATCTGTCTCTATGTATCTCCATCCATCCTCTCTCCATCCATCCATCTGTCCAACTATCTCTCTACATCTATCTATAAACATCTGTCTAATCTATCTAATCTACCTATCTAATCAATCTAATCTTTCTATCTATCTATCTCTTTCTTTTTCTTTCTATCTATCTATCTATCTATCTATCTATCTATCTATCTATCTATCTATCATCTACCTACCTACCTACCTACCTATCTATCTAATCTATCTATCATCTCAACCCCAAGCTGCAAATAAGATTCTTTTATTGATAATGGAGCTTTAAATTCCTTCAGTGTGGTAAGCCACCTAAAGTTGTCAGCAATGTGTAAGCTATATAAAATTGCTTAATAAATATAAATAAATCATAAACAATAGGTTCAGCTACAGGTCTCAGTGGGGTCATATTTGCAAGGGGTGGTGGTTGTCAGCCTGGGCAGCCCCCAGCTGGATCCAGTGCCCGATGTGAAAAAGGCAGAGGAGAGGAGAGCAGTGGAAATCTATGGGCCGGGCCTCGGGACGGGAGAGCCATCATCGCTGCTGTCAGCAAAGCCCCCACCCTAGCCCTGGGGATAAAAGGCAGGGGGCGGAGACGAGTAGGTGTGGCAGACAGCCATTCACCTCCCTGGCGGACACACTGGTCAGCCTGCGGTGAGAGAGGGAAACATTTGGCCGAGGCTGCCGACGCTCCTCATTAACGGAATCTTTTGAGTTCACGTCAGAGGGTTCGTCGTGTTTTGGGAGCCGGGTCAGAAAAGATTTTTTTTTTTTTACAACTTTTGCAACGTTAGGACCAGTTTCCACCCCTCTCTCTTCTTTTTGGCCCATGCAGGGAGTGTTTACCCATGTTCAGGGTGACAGTGATGATGTTCAGCGACATAGTGGAGTCGGTGACGCTGCTGAAGGACGATGTCTGGAAGACAGGAGAGGAGAGGGATAGATGCAAGACAAGACCACCTGCATCCACTCCCCACAAAAAACTATCCCGTTTCCCTGAAAATACGATCTACCCTGAAAGTCCAAGTTTGATTTTTTACGTGTTTGCCTAATATAAGCCCTACCCCCCCCAAAAGCCCTAATTAAGATTCCCACCCGCTCGAATGGATACCCAGACAGGATGTTTATGTAGAACTAAGAAATGTAGCCTGTTTCCCCGAAAATACGACCTACCCTGAAAGTAAGCCCTAGCTTGAGGTTTTTTACACATGCACCCAATATAAGCCCTACCCCCAAAATAAGCCCTGATTAAGATTCCCACCCACTCCAGAGTGGACGGGTAAAAATTAAGCTGGGCTGGGGATGCAGGGGTGGAGCTGCCCTACTACTTACCTTTGGACAGGTGTAGCCAGGCCTCGCACCCCCCGACACCTGCCTTGCCAGCCCGTTTCTTCTGCAGCCGGCAAGGCTGTCAAGGCTTTCCTGAAGGCCTCTGGAGCTGAGAACAAAGCTCTGGATCGATCCAGAGTTATCGGCTGCAGAGGCCTTCAGGAAAGCCTTGCCGGCCGCAGAAGAAGGACTTCCGGAAGGAGGCCGGTGACAACGTGTGCAAGTGAGGTTAGTCCGTGGAGGACATCCACTGAAAATAAGACCTGGTGCCTTTTTTGATGGCAAACAAAATATAAGACAGGGTCTTATTTAAGGGGGAACTTGGTACCATCCTGGACCTTTGGCTGCCCGTTGAGAAGAGACCCTCCGGATCTTAGATGCTGAGACTGGGCTCGTTGCCCCCTACCCGTTCGAGACGTGGCGGGCGCTGCTTCCTCCTCCGACGGTGGCGTTTGAGAAGGCGGGAGGCGCTGCTCTGCTCCGTGGAGCTGCTAAACCTGCCAAGTGAAAATGGGCGAGGGGCTCACAGGAGCGAAGGGCACGAGGGAGGTCCCCGTCTGGGAAAGGGCACCACCCAGCGATGTCTTTTTGCAACCGCCACCCTACGCCACTGCAAGTGGGCCTCGGCTTACGATGGCAACGGAGCCCTACATTTCTGCTGCCGAGCGAGACCACTGAAGCCAGTTTTGTCCCCGTATGAACGGCCTTTCTGGCCACGCCAGCGAGTCACACGGTCGTTGAGGGAATCTAGCTTCCCCAGGAATTTGTCACGTGAGCCCCAGGACGTGGCGACCGTCATAAATACAAGTCGGTTGCCGAACGGCACGAATTTGGATTACGTGAATAACTGCGACAGTCGTAAATCCTAAGGTACTTTTTGTAAACTGACATTAAATGAATGGTTCTAAATTAAGGACGACCTGTGAAAAGCTATAAGTAAAATACTATCAAGATCCAAATAACTCAGCCTTAACTAAAAGTTGGGGAGGGCGTAGGATGAGCAGAGTGGTGGTTGAATCTGTCATTAATCTATCAACCTGTCACGGACTGTGGGGGGGACGATGTGATAGCAGTCTTCCAATATTTTGAGGGGCTGCCCCAAAAAAGAGGAAGCAGTCAAGATATTCTCCAAAGCACCAGAAGGCAGGACAAGGAGTAACCTAGAACTATGGAGAAACTACCTAACAGTGGGGACAATTAACCAGTGGAACTACTTGCCACCAGAAGTTGTGGGTGCTCCAACAGTGGAGGCTTTAAAGAAGAGATTTGTCTAGGATGGTGTAAGGCAGGGGTAGGCAACCCGTGGCTCTAGAGCTGCATGTGGCTCTTTCCTCCCTTTTGCTGCAGCTCCCTGTTGCCGGTCGGCTCCAGAATTGATAGGGCTTTTGGTTAGGACAGGTAGAGGAAAAAGGACGCCGCGCTAGGAGGAGATTCTATGGTTGGGGGGGGAACTGCCATAGAGTCTGGTCAGCTCCAGAATTGAAGGGGGGGGGGAGGCAGCTTCTGGTTAGGGCCTTTGTGACTCTTTGAATGTTTAAGGTTGCCGACCCTTGGTGTAGGGACTCCTGCTATGAGCAGGACGTTGGACTAGATCAGGGGTCGCCAACTGGTGGGCTGGGGACCACTGGTGGTCTGTGACAAAATTTTGGTGGTTTGCAGAGAAGTCTCCCCCACACCCAAAAAATGCAATTAATGCAGGCTGCACAGGAACACAAGGCTGCCTCGTCCACATGGCCTGCAGGAACACAAGGCTTGCATCGCGAACAACACAAGGTAGTGAGGGGAGGGGAAACTTGCCCCACGCGCCCGACGCACCTGGCCTGGACACCAGGCTGCTTCTTCCTTCTTCTGCTTTTGGCTGCACGCAAGGAAAGCAGCCAAAGTCTTTCTTTCTCTCCCCCAAACTCCGCCAGAAAGGAGTCTGTGGGACCCTGCAAGGCCTCCTGCTCCAAGAGGCTGTGCTGGCGTGACAAGTCTCACCAAGACTCATTCCTGGCGGAGTTTGGGGGAGAGAAAGAAAGAATTCTGCGGCTTCTGCTGCTTTCCTTGCATGAAGCCAAAAGTCTCTCTCTCTCTCTCCCTCTGAGAAACGGAGCTGGAGACGGTATCCTGCCATCCCAAATAAAGAACGATCGATCGGCAGGAAAACGGGGTGGGGGATTTTCCCAGGGTCTCTGGTCCATGGGATTTAAAATGATGAGTTTGGTGGTCCCTGAGGTCCAAAAGGTTGGCAACCCCTGGGCTAGAAGACCTCCAAGGTCCCTTCCAACTCTTGATGTTCTACGTTTTAACCATTTCCCACCACCCTCCATGTGAAATCTGAAGGCTCTCGTGGAAGGTCAGCAGGGTACAGCCCACCTCACATGGGGGGGAGGGGGGGAGATGTTCCAAAGGGCAGGAACAACAGCAGAGAACGTCCTTCTCCTCGAGCCCACCGGCCGGAATACCCCGCCCGATGGGGCACGTGGCATGGCTCCTGTGGCCTGTTGTGGTTTGCCAGCAGCCAACGCAGACGGCAGTGGAATCGGGACAGTGGGGAAAGAACAGGGATCAGTCCGGAAGTCTGGAGAGGACGCGGACGAGGGCCCTGCGTCCGATACAGAGATGGGGCCAGGACCGTGTGGGAGTGGGGGGGCTGCCTTCGGAGCCTGGCAGCAGCGAGGCAGAGGACCCAGGGGAGCCTGTTCCCAGTGCGCGTGTGCAAAGAGTTGTCAGAAGGCGAGAGCAGCGGAAACAAAAGAGGCGGCTCGGGAGTAAGGCTGGGAGGTGACTGCCCCACCCATAAGGGATAAAAGTCAGGCCAAGGTGACGAAACCTTTGCAGGAAGCAAGTACTTTGATCTGTTCAGGTTCATTTTTGAAGCTTGGTTGTTGTTGTTTTTTCCCCTAGTTCATTGGACAGTTCTATGATTGGCAGCGCTTCACAGGAAAGAAAGGTGGGTGCTTATCTCGAGAGACTATCTGAGATTCATTCCCGGCTGGGAATGAAAACAATTCCCAGCGTTGCAATAAACTAGGACTTGTTTTTAAAAGAAGCGTGTGCATAATTACGGACTAGGAAGCTTGGGTCAGAACAGTGCTGACACGGGGTCCAATCCCAGTGGGAAGACAACAGAGACAAGGTGGGGGATGAAGCTTCCTGGACTCCCATGCCTCTCTCCACTCCAGAGCCCAGAAGTTTTGGCAGGAAATCAGGAACTTGCAAACGTTTCCAGCCGTGCCTGCCTGCTTTCCGGTGCTCACCGGCTCATGGCATCGTCGTCATCCGAGTCGCAGAGGCTGGTGGTCTCCAGCTCGCTGGTAAGCAGCGTGGAGGAGCTCTCGTAGCCAGCCAGGTGGCGCTCCAGCCGGGATTGCCCATTGATCCGGTGCCCACCTGAGTCGGAAGGGGAGGAGGGTGTCAGAGCGATCCCTCCCCGCCGGGACGGGCCCCCCCCCCCCCCCCGCCTGCCCTCCCCCGCTAAGGAAAGGGCCGGAAGCTTTCGGAGACGGGTCGTTTACCTCCGTGCTCCATGCTCTCCCGGCGCCGTGGCCGCTCTCTCCGCAGGGACACGACGGACTCCGTCTCGGTTTCATGGTCCAAGTTTTCGCAGCTGCCCGAGAGGTTTGGGCTGTGGAGGAAACCCGTTGGGTATAGGGGTGAGGGGCTGGTGTGGAAACTGGGAGATGGTCAGTTCTAGTCCCACCTTAGGCATGAAAGCCAGCTGGGGGACTTTGGGCCAATCACCAGGAGACTGGGAGTTCTAGTCCCGCCTTGGGCATGAAAGCTTATTGGGTGACTTTGGGCCAATCACCAGGAGACTGGGAGTTCTCGTCCCGCCTTGGGCATGAAAGCTTATTGGGTGACTTTGGGCCAATCATCAGGAGACTGGGAGTTCTAGTCCCACCTTAGGCATGAAACTCAGCTGGGGACTTTGGGCCAATCACCAGAAGTTCTAGCTCCCCCCAAAAACAGCTGGGTTTTTATGGGGGGAAAATAAAAGGAGCAGCATTAAATACACTGCTCAAAAAAAAATAAAGGGAACACTTAAACAACACAATGTAACTCCGAGTCAATCACACTTCTGTGAAATCAAACTGTCCACTTAGGTAGCAACACTGATTGACAATCAATTTCACCTGCTGTTGTGCAAATGGAATAGACAACAGGTGGAAAGCAGAGGCAGGTAGCAAGACATCCCCAATAAAGGAGTGGTTCTGCAGGTGGTGACCACAGACCACTTCTCAGTTCCTATGCTTTCTGGCTGATGGTTTGGTCACTTTTGAATGCTGGCGGTGCTTTCACTCTAGTGGTAGCATGAGACGGAGTCTACAACCCACACAAGTGGCTCAGGTAGTGCAGCTCATCCAGGATGGCACATCAATGCAAGCTGTGGCAAGAAGGTTTGCTGTGTCTGTCAGCGTAGTGTCCAGAGCATGGAGGCGCTACCAGGAGACAGGCCAGTACATCAGGAGACGTGGAGGAGGCCGTAGGAGGGCAACAACCCAGCATCAGGACCGCTACCTCCGCCTTTGTGCAAGGAGGGAGAGGAGGAGCACTGCCAGAGCCCTGCAAAATGACCTCCAACAGGCCACAAATATGCATGTAGCTGCTCAATCGGTCAGAAACAGACTCCATGAGGGTGGTATGAGGGCCCGACGTCCACAGGTGGGGGTTGTGCTTACAGCCCAACACCGTGCAGGGCGTTTGGCATTTGCCAGAGAACACCAAGATTGGCAACTTTGCCACTGGCGCCCTGTGCTCTTCACAGATGAAAGCAGGTTCACACTGAGCACATGTGACAGACGTGACAGGGTCTGGAGACGCCGTGGAGAACGTTCTGCTGCCTGCGACATCCTCCAGCATGACCGGTTTGGCAGTGGGTCAGTAATGGTGTGGGGTGGCATTTCTTTAGGGGGCCGCACAGCCCTCCATGTGCTCGCCAGAGGTAGCCTGACTGCCATTAGGTACCGAGATAAGATCCTCAGACCCCTTGTGAGACCATATGCTGGTGCAGTTGGCCCTGGGTTCCTCCTAATGCAAGACAATGCTAGACCTCATGTGGCTGGAGTGTGTCAGCAGTTCCTGAAAGACGGAGGCATTGATGCTATGGACTGGCCCGCCCGTTCCCAGACCTGAATCCAATTGAGCACATCTGGGACATCATGTCTCGCTCCTTCCACCAACGCCACGTTGCACCACAGACTGTCCAGGAGTTGGGGGATGCTTTAGTCCAGGTGTGGGAGGAGATCCCTCAGGAGACCATCCGCCACCTCATCAGGAGCATGCCCAGGCGTTGTAGGGAGGTCATACAGGCACGTGGAGGCCACACACACTACTGAGCCTCATTTTGACTTGCTTTAAGGACATTACATCAAAGTTGGATCAGCCTGTAGTGTTTTTTTCCACTTTAATTTTGAGTGTAACTCCACATCCAGACCTCCATGGGTTGCTACATTTGATTTCCATTGACAATTTTTGTGTGATTTTGTTGTCAGCACATTCAATCATGTAATGAACAAAGTATTTAATAAGAATATTTCATTCATTCAGATCTAGGATGTCTTATTTTTGCGTTCCCTTTATTTTTTTTTGAGCAGTGTATGATTGCCATACCTTGAGTTCCTTATAAAGCAATACATGGTGGATAAAAATCTAACAATAATAAGTAAAAGCAACAAAAACTGAAGCGTCTACTGAAGAAAGTTAGCTCAAATTTTCCTTCTGTTAGGCGCCCCCCCCCTCCGTTCTAGGCTGGATTAGTCCCCTTTTTTAACCCCACCATGGAGAAACACGCAAACACAGACACACAAACACAGCAGCCATTCCTACTCACTGGAAGGAAGGAGGGCGGGAGTCGCCGATGCCGCTGGTCCTTTCTACGGGCAAGGGAGGAAGAGGAGGTGGTGGGGGAGCAGGCTCCGGATGGACCTCGCCGGGAACAGGAGGAGGGGGCGGTGGTGGCTCAGGTGGGGGGACCTCCGAAGACACCAGCTGGGTGGGGGGAAAAGGGGAAGGGGGGAGAGAGAGAGAGGTGGGGGGTGAAGGTTTCCCTCTGGCCCTTCCCCCTCCCTTCCCTCCTGCTGGATCAGGGTGTCCCCCTGGGAAGCCACTTAAGTCAGCTCAGAATAGATAAGACCCCCCCCTCCCCGTTCTCGAGGGCCCAGAAGGCTCCGCCGCGGAATACCCCCGAGACCCTCATCCCCGGCGGGGAGGGCAAGGGTCTGGCGTACCCAGGAGACGACTCTTCCGTTGAAGCAGGGCAGGAGGGCGCTGTCCTCGGTGATCTCCTCCTTCACCACCCTGCCAAGAAAGAAGGGATTTGGGTGGGAAAGGATGCTGCTGGGATTCCTCGAGGTCCAGGAGACGGGCTTCGTGGGGGCCTCTCACCAGCCTAATGTTCTGGGGAGGGGGTTTTTCCACAGCCCCCCAAAGCTTCCCATGACCCCCCTGTTTCTAGAGAGGCATAAAAGAGGATCTCATTCCCCCCACCCCCACCCCCGACCCATGAGGGTTCCTTCGAGGTCCGGAAGACGGGCCCTGGGGGTGGTGGAGGCTTTAACCTCTCTGTGCTGTCCTTGGGGAGGGGTCTGTGGGCTCCCAACCTCCGAGGAGCCCAGGGAGACAGAAAAAAAGGAGGGCCTCATGCCCCCCCTCCCCACTTCGTAAAGCAGGGCCTCACCCTGCCCCGAGGGTCCCCTCGAGGTCCAGGAGACAGGCCCAAAGGGGGCGGCTCTTAACCCTGCTGTGGTCTCCTTGGGGGAGGGGTACATGCCTTTCCTCCCTCCCCCGTAACCTCTCAGCAGCCCATGGCCCCCCCAGAACCCCCCCCTTCTCCAGAGAAAGGGGGGCTCTGAGTTCTCATGTCCCCCCCACTTCTCTCCTCGAGGGGGGGTGGAAAGATTCACGACCCCCCCATACTCAGAGACGCGCCCTCCCCCGACAGGGGGGATGAAAGCAGGGCCTCCTCCTTCCCATGAGGGGGGATCCCTCGAGGTCTGGTAGACGGGGGGGGGGGGGGGGGGGGTTCGCGAGTCTCTTGCCCCCCCCCCCCACCACGCTTTTAGGGGGGAGGATGTACAACCCCCACAGCTCCTTAGGGGCGGCCACGACCCCCCCTCGAGAGAAAGAGGCAGAAACGAGGGTCTCCTTCTCACGAGGGCCCCCCTCGAGGTCCAAAAGACGGGCCAGAGGGGGGCAGGGAGGGAGCGGGGCCTACCCGAAGTCCTGGTCCATGCTCTTGAAGAAGTACTTGGCGCCGGGACGGGCCAGGGCCGCCTTGACGTGGCCGAGGGTGAGGCGCTCGGCCGGCACGGCGATCTTGACCAGGTAGGGCGTCTCCTCCTCGTCCAGGTGGTAGATCACCTTCGTCTCGCCCACTGCGGGGGGGCCACCCGCCGTCGCCATGGCGACCCCGGAGGGGGGGGGGGGCCCGC